CTTCACCGACGGGCGGGCGATCATCGCGCGGGCGCCGAGGGCGGCTAGGGCGAGCAGCGCAAGCCGCGGCATGGCCCTTCGGCGGCGGAGGGCGGGAGCGAGAAGCGAGGACGAGAATAACAGAAAGAGAGAGAGAGAGAGACGAAGAAAAGCAGAGAGAGGGAACGATAACGAGAAAAAAAGAAAGAGAGAGAGAGAGAGAAAGAGAGAGAGAACAAAAAAAAAACAAGAGGACAAGGACGAGGTCGAGGACGAGGAAAAGGACGAGGAGGAGGAGGAGGAGGACGAGGAGGGGAAGGAGGAGAAAGGGGAGGAGGAGAGGGTGGAGGGGGGAGGAAAAAAGGGAAGAGGATGGGGAGAACGAGGAACGAAGAGGAGGAGGAGGAGGAAGAGGAGGAGGAGGACGACGACGACGACGACGGCGAGAAGGGGGGAAGGGGTGGGGTAGGGAGGGGGGGAAGGGGGAAAGGGGGGGAAGGGGGTGGGGGATGGGGGGAAATAGGAGCGAAGAGGCAGACGAGGAGGAGGAAGAGGAGGAAGAGGAGGAGAACCAGCAGAAGCAGGAAGGGGCCCCTGCCTCGTCCTCATGGTTTGTTCCTGTTGTCCTCATCCTCTTCATGGAAGTTCATGCCTGTGTTCTGTTTCCTGTACACAGCGTGCCCCTGTCGCACCCCGGGCGCGCGTGTAGGGCGGGCTTGGTGCTCCGCCAGAGACTCCCTCACCGCTCTTGACAGAAAAACCGTTACACTAGGCGCGCCGTTTCCCACATTGGGGTTGTGGCAACGTTGTTGCGCACATTCGTTGTACAAGCTCAATCGACCTACAATATAGCGGGCGGTTGGTTTTCATCATGGGGTCATCGCTTTCGCGTCGCGCTCATCCGCCTCCAACATTTGCAACCGCCACATGGATGGAGGACGATTACTTACCACATGCGGGGATCAGTTGCACGCATACAACTGTGCAGGTGGAAAGCGGCTCCTAAGCACCTCCTCGAAGCACATAACAAGAAAGGCACGCTTGCGTGAACAACCATATTGGCGAAAACCGTTCGGTTTCAAAACAGCGGCACATGTTTCTATATCCCTTTCTATCTCGTGTTCTCTCTCTCTCTCATATCTCTCTCCCTCTGTTTTTCTCTCTCCCTCTCTCTTTCTCGCTCTTTGGACACATCGCTTAACTGTCTGATGATACCTGTTCGCACCCCCTGTCGGTCGACATACGGACGCAGCGCAGGTTCTTTTCAAAACGGGGTTTTCGCATGAAGGGAAAGCCACGTAGGCGCTCGAGCTTCAACGGAAACGATATTCTCGTAGTGGCAATGAAAGCCTGAAGACGCTTACGATGAAGGGGGTAGGGGTAAGGGCTGGATGACGATTTGCAACATCGCTGCTCTGGTTTTCTTCCTCCTCCGCATTCTCCCCCACCCTCCCTCCACCCATCCTCCACACGCGCACACGGAGACACACACACACAAGCAATCACAAGCACAAACACACACACACACAAACACAAACACAAGCACAAGCACAAGCACTAACACACACACACACACACACACACACACGCACGCACGCACGCACGCACGCACGCACGCACGCACGCACGCACGCACGCACGCACGCACACATGCGCGCGCGCACACACATGCACACACACACATGCACACACACACACACACTTGTTGAGCGTAGCAGGCTGGGCCTGGTCTCAAGCCGCACGGAAGCCCTGCGGACGAGGACGCGCCAGCTAAATAGGAAGAGGGTCCGCCGGGCCCTCCCGGGGCAGTGGCGGCACAAGCAGGGCAGCGGCCAGGGCGCGCGCCTGCATGGGGGTGGGGAGCGGCAGGGCCACGGAGGCAGGAGCGAGGCAGGCGAAGAGAGAGAGGCGCGGCTCGGCGGGTCGGAGAGCGGGTCCTCCCGCGCTGCCGAACGCGAGTTCTTCCAGGAGCGCCACCACTTGTCGACGCGATACGCACACAAGCACACGCGCGCGCGCTGTTTCCTCCAGCCCGTGGAGAAGCAGCCTCCCGTGCAGCGAATACAGACAGGGAGAGGAGGAGAGGAAATGTGTATATATACACATATATATATACACATATATAGACACATATATATATATACACACACTAGAACCATGCGCGCGCTGTGCGCGCGCTTAGCCCCAAGCCGTGACGAGTTCACTGCTCCGCTGAAGTAGTGGGCCACAGAGGGTTTGAACGGGAAGTGAAGAAGTGCCAACAACACTGAACGCATTATGGGCAATTGAAAGTCCACACACGTCAATCCGCATTCCGGGAGGCTTTCGGGACAGATCGTTGCGTAAGGGGGCGGCATGAAGAATCGGTTTTCCAGAAGGCCTTCTGGGAACATAATGTTTGGGGGCGTCTGTGGGAGCCTGTTGGGGCGTGCCGTCGTCGTCGTCGTCGTAATGTCGTCGTCGCCCCTTGGGGCGCGCCGTCGTCGTCGTCGTCGTCGTCCTCGTCCTCGTCCTCGTCCTCGTCCTCGTCCTCGTCTTCGTCGTTTCGCCGTTCTCGTGGCCGTCGTCGTCGTCGGATGGACCGCTCCAACGATCCACCCAACGCAATTTCCCACTCCAGAACGAAGCCCGACGATCCCAGGGCCCGAAAACGGCCTCCGAGGGCAGAAAGCGCCGAACAACAGATGACAGTTTCGAACATCAAAGTTCGAAGTTCGTCGTCGTCTTCGTCGCCGTCCGTCGCCGACCTCGTCGCCTTCGTCGTCGGCAGAGAAGACGATCAACAAATTCCCCAGTAAACTTCCCAGACAGCTGTCCGGCAGCGCGATAGTTCGTACTCCAGAGCTTCCGGAGACTGTCGGGCCCACGATGAACCATGTCCCCAGGAGGCCTTCTGGGGACATGATTTGTTGGGCTGTGCCGGGGGGCCTCTTGGGCGTTCCCTGGAAGCCCCTTGGGGCCTCTTGGGGTTTCCCGGGGGCCTCTTGGCGGCCTCACGGAGCTCTAGGAGTCTCTTGGTGGCCTCTGGGAGGCTACTGGGGCCTCTGGGGCCAGAGACCTCAAATTTTGGTTCGCGGTCCCCCTCCGGGCGCTCTTGGGGCACACTTGGGTTGTCTGGGGAGCCTCCTGGGCCGTTTGGGGGTCCACTTCGGGGCCTCGTGGGCCGTCTTGGAGCGATCTGAAGGGACTTCCAGGACTTCCGCCATCACGAAATGATAACCTCTGCTCGCATCGCGCAGATATTATCTTAGGAAACAGGCCCCAACTTATCCTGTCTAGATATTCGGACCTGGCCTTCGTGGGTTGTGTGACACACGGCTCCGCCAGTCCTCTGAGCTGGGCTTGACCGAAAACCCCGCAGGAACCGCAATACCACAAACGAAAGTCTTTATGACTAATCGCTGCGTAAGAAACATGCACCCACCCCCCAGCCAAGTGCAAACGCCGCCCCTCGGGAACTCGGGCCAATTTATCATTCACATGGTGCAGATGGAAGCAAGCGCTTCGCAACCATCCCGCAAGCGACGTTTTAGTGGCCGACCCTTCGCACGCACTGCAAGCCCCCCCACACTCGGTCAAAGTGCGACGAGACGCAAACCGCGCCACGGCCAGAGGAGGAGGAGGAGGAGGAGGAGAAGAGGGAAGAGGGGCACGACTGCACACCCTAGACGACTCTTCACCCTGCGACTGCGACGCCCGAATCGACTCGAGACATGCTCACAGCCTCCGAACAAGTACTGCTTTGTGCTTTATAGCCTGTACCCGGTGACGACTAACCTGGGAGACCCGCGCGCGCGCGGCAGCCTCGCCAGCAGGGGCGTCGACGCAAGCACTGCCTAAAACTAGCCACCGAGGAGGTCTGCCGAGTGATCATTTGCTCGGCAGACAAATGAGAAGGAACTAGCATAACAATGATGCTGGTGGGGCGCCTGCCTTGCTCGACCAGAAGCGCGCCGATCGATCTCCACAGATCGGTTTGCGCTCCTACGGGCCTGCGAAAACTTTCAGAGCACCACCCTCTCGCGACGTCCTCACAATCCGTAACATACAGCAACGCACCCGCAGAAAACCTCAGCGCCCACAAGAACGCAAGGAGCTCTCCGCGGGGCACACTTTGATGAGGCCCGCACAGGGGGCCACTCCCAAAAACGAATAAGCGGGTCCTCAGAAGAGCCACTGCCTAGACACCCTGGCCCAAGACCATCGCAGCCAAGACCCCCCCGTAGATGGCTTCGCTCGAAGGCGGCGGCGGGACCTGCGTCCAGACCGCGGGGATAAGCCCCCTCATCCAAAAGCTGGGGAAGGCCTCCGCCTTGGCGATGGCCTGGGGTACACATGCGCTAGACTGGGCAAATGCTCTCGAGAGGGCATCGGCGTTAGCCTCGCACCACCATGCTGGGTGCAAAGTAGTGTCCATTTCTTGTCCACAGTGCAGACATACACCTGTATAACAGAAAGGTTTGCTGATTTCCGTCGATCCTGCGAGCCACCCGCAGCAACAGACGCCAGCAATTCTGAAATCTGTCGTCCTCGCTGGCCCAGCAACGGATCTCTGACCATGGCACGGTAAGATGTCATGTCCGCACCTCCTTCCAGCCCACCTCCGCAGAAATGCAAGAAAGCGTCTCTCCAAGACAATTGATCCATGGTCGGTCGCCTGCAACTCATCCAGCAACGGCTGCGCCTGATCCAACCCCGCGAAGTCGCCTCCAGGAAACTGCCATGTATGGATCAGCGTGGTACCATCACTCGGAACTTGCCACTCCGTCGCCGTCTTCGGGTCCCATACTGCTGCCATCAGATAGAGGATAACAGGTGACATCGGCCCTCTGATGTGCCGAGCGAGTGGGCTGAATACTGCGTAGGTGCTCTACTGCCCTCGGCCAAGCACGCGCCACTGATGCTCGCATGGAAGGATTTGACAGCCACACCGCCAGCCACTGTGAAACACACTGCCTCGGCAAAAGATACCCTGGATCGCATCCTGGCAACCTGCGAGCTAAAAGAGTAGTGAGGCACCGTCCGCGCTTGCTGGATCCTGCAGCTGCGCCTGGACGTCGCCTGTGTGAAACCATACTCGAGCCGAACTGCCC